CTCTCTCTCCCTCTCTCTCTCTCTCTCTCTCTCTCTCGTATACTCACACCGGGTCTCTCCGCTTCTTCCGCTCTAACGAGAAAAGGGGGGAGAACTTGGAGGTCGTTCTGGATTGGTGAGTCCGCCGGTTGCCTCGATTGGCGGTTACTTCATGTTCGAGGCGGATCGACGCGCGGAAGGCGTACGACTCCAAGACCCCCGCTCGAGCTCGCCGACTCGGGAAACCAGACCAGACGTAGCCGCGCGCACCATTCGAAAGTTACACCGGTGGGGAGGAGAATCACCTCTCTCTGACGGCTCTTCCGTCCAGGCTGGCTGAAGCGGCCCCACACACCGGTTCGCGCAGCCGCGACGTACGCCTCTTGCTCGCTCGTTTGCTCGTTTGCTCGATTCAAGAAGAAGCGACACGGCGCGGCGCGACACGGCGCGACGCGGCACGAGCGAGAGCGGACGCGATTCTTCTTCTTATTTTCCCCCCCGTATTGCACCTCCCTTCTTCTCGCTCGGTCTTCTTCTCCCCCTGCCTCCTCGCCTCCTGCTCTCCTTCACCGTTCCCTCATCCGTTTCGGGGCACGCACGGGGTACGCGTTTCGGGCGCGAGGGGGCTGGGACCGATCGGCGACGCGGGTGATCTCTGCCGACGAGCGGACGTGAGGAGCGGATAAGGTGTCACCGAGCGAATTCGAGGTGAACGAAGGCGGAGTTTTCGGGAGACACGAGGAGACATCGCTGGAAGTAACCCTGTCGACGCACCAAGGTCAGTGGTCCGATTACCTTGGGGGCGCGTGGGATGGGGTGAGAATGATTTGACATGTGCGCCGGTTCAAGTGATTCTTGCGGGATGAGAAACGTGGCTGGAGCATCAGGTGCCATCGGTGTCTCTTCACGAAGCTCACGAAATGGTTATTCGACGGTCAAAACTCTGTAGTAGTCGCGAACTTATGACAGGTTTAATAGCTATTATTCGGAAAGCAAGAACATTTTAGTGAGGAACATAATTGTGATAACAGTACCATTTCACTTAGCTTGGAGGATGACATTTTTCACGGCATCACAGCTCATTTACGATAAGAGGGATGGGGGAGGTTAAATAATTATGGTTATCAACGTGACTAAAAGTGAGTTTAATTTTGACATTAATACCTTATACGCCTCTTAGACATTCGTGACGGTATGAATTTCGTCACCTAATTTACTTTCAAAAAATCCCCTGAAATTATGCGTGTAAACCACATTAAAAGTAAAACGAGAAAAAGAATAATGATCACAATGATTATGATAAATGATTTAATGAATGTTGGATTAATTTTTTTATAAGATATAAGCAAACAAGTGTTACTGTCGAAGTTAAATATCTCTACGTTAATAAATTCGAGGCTGAGGTGAGTTTAGAGGTGACGGGACTAACTTGTGAATCTATCTTCAGCAGTATTCAACGTTGTTTTGCTCCTTTTGAGTCTTCTGAATTTTCGTTGCAAATAATAGTGACTGTATCGATACGTCTTGTAATCGGTCGGTAATGGTAATATATGACGCGTGTAAGTGCACACCGTAGTTCATTCACTGCGAAACGTTGTACGTCGTTTCATTAATTGAAAAAGAGATATCAAGGTTAGTTTCTCGACGAAGCGAACAGTTCTCAAGAGAACAGAAATAAATTAGCATTAATTAAAGCGTTTTTCCTCAGGTGCTATGGAGTGTGTTTTTGCCCTGTAATTGAATTATTATAACGAGTCGACGATGTAATTTTTCCGCCCACACATTCACGACAGTTTTTCAGCTCTCATCGTGTAGTTCTCAACGACGTGCGCGCGTAAAATTTCAATCTTTGACGCCACTTTCAACGGTGAAATCCCACGTGCGTCTCCTTATATACATAAACGATCGCAGTTCCCACTCGCAGAGAATTTCCCATCGTCTACGTAATTACTCCGTACCTCGCATAAGCGAATAGATGAACGCATCCTTTACATATCTTCTTTTTCCGACCATTCATTGCGTCACTCATTACGGAAAATACACGCCAGCGTAAATAGGCGCATTAGGCATCGCTTCCCTTCCCCTAACTTGGGCGGAGGTTTCCCTCGTGCCGTGAATGAGTAGAAAGCAGCTTTCCAGAAGTGTGCTTCGAACTCATCGCCAAGGTAGCGTAAAATGCAACGCAAAAATACAGCCTCCTCCTCCTCCTCGCGCGTCTTAACGTTTCTCCTCCCTCATTCTTCGCGAGCACAGTGCCGTGTGAATTAACGAAGCGATATCGAGCAACGACCGCCGGCCATCATGATCAGAATGCGCCTACCGCGCCGTATAGACGATTACCAATGCTAACAGCCTTGAAAGGGTTAAACGACTTCGGCGATGCGTAAGCGATTCGATCGCTACACGTCCGCCTGCTGCTCCTCTCTGCGTCTGTGAGTGAGTGCGTGCATGCGTGCGTGCATGCGTGCCTACCTGCATTCGTGCCTGCGTGCATGCGTGCATACGTGCCGGTGTGCACGCGTGCGTGCGTGACGCGTCAGCGTTGATGAACGACCCGATCGCAGATACAACCCCATTACGTCTCTATAGAGACCGCAGTGGGCCCCGGCGATGGGGCGAGAGGAGCGCACGGTAGCGTTGACGTTACCTCGTGGTTATGCAAAGGATCGAGCGTCGCGAGTTTTCACCGATAAAAACTCGATTAATCACTCTCACGCGACAAACGCTTCGCTCAACGGAGAACGAAGAGGTCGGCGGAGGTGATGGTGGCGATGCAGGGAGAAGGGAGAAAACAAAGAGCGCGAGGGGCCACTTTGTTGCTAATCGAAGCAACAACACGACGACGCCGGGCCGACATTCACGTCCCGTTGATTTACGATCCGGCCCCGCGATTATTCGGGATTTCTTGCCCGCCATAAACGTCCGTCACGTCGCCGCGGCGGCAGCGGGTTTAATTTGACTGCGTTTATAACAAGGTATCGCGCGTAATGGAGCACTAGCCCGCCGACAGGCTCCATTACAATCAGGACTTTCCTTCCGGGCCTGAGGGCAAGCTCGCCAGCCTTAATTGGATTTTATTTGCTTAACCCTCGCTCTTTCTCGCTCTCCTTCTCTCTCTCTCTCTCTCTCTCTCTCTCTCTCTTCCTTTCGCAGACGTCCCGGTGCCCGTACCCGTCGTCTTCGTCTTCGTCTCCGTCGTCGACGCCGTCATCGTCGACGACGCCGTTGAACGGCTGCGACTTACCGTCGCCCCCGGGAAGTCTCCCGCTCTCTCCCTCCCTCTTTCTCTCTGTCTTCTCTTCTCCGTACTCGCGTCTCGTTTGCATATAAATAATCATAATGACCCGGCTGACACAGTCGGCAGTATGTCGGAATAATAGCGTTGTAATAGCGCGATCGACCGAGGGCGACGGAGGAGCCGGTCCGGGAGCGATTCGAGCCACAATGAAACCCAATTTCCACGTGCACACGCGCGTTTGATTAGAAACGCGTTTGGACCCACACGATTCTCACAAGCCGGCCTCTTTCTCTCTCTCTCTCTCTCTTTCTCTCTCTTCGAGACGCTCTCGTCTCGTGAAAACGCACAAATACGTGATTGATGATGACGAATGTGCCGAAGAGGCTCTCTCCTTATTCCCGTCGGACGGGCTCTCATTACTCAAACAGGCATCGGCGTTAGTTGCGCGCCGTACTATTACACACATTATTGATTTCGATGTAATCGTTTGAATAAACTGCGTTCCCAGGTCGTCAGAACGGACGGTGACCGTGAGTAACTCGTTGAGCGGGAGATAATTGCGAGTGTAGAGGAAGAAACCAGGGCTACTTGGCAAAACCGATTATTTCTGCTATTTTCGAACAAGTTACAAAATTAAGCAAGATTTTTAAATTTAAAACACGTAAAAAATGACTTTGAAATCCGTGCTTGCTTGATTCTGAAATCTGTTAAAGAACAATAGAAATAATAGACTTTGCCAAGCGGTCTCTTCAACTCGTTGCGTTTTTGCTCAACTCGGAAATTTTATGCATTTTTGGAAATTTTAATTATAACTGGAGCACTTGGAAATTCCGTAAAACTAAATAGCAAGATAGATCCCTCCTGGGACCTATCTCGCCGGAGGTGAACTCTCCACAAGTTGCATCTCGGCGTGTTTGAAACACGACGTTTAATTACTACAGAGTATTAACGGGGAATTGTGCCGAACGACGCGCGCGCGGAAAGAGCTCGCCGCAACTCACTAATTAATTTCGCGAAAGAGCGAAGGAGGGAGAGACAGAGAGACAGAGAAAGAGAAAGAGAGAGACGAAACAATCCGTGATTATACTACACACAGAGAGCGCGCGTACGCGGATGTTTAATCACGTAGGGATAATTAAACAATTATTCGTAACCTCAGATGGTAATCGACGCAACTTAATTACGCACGCGGGAGTTATATCGCGCCTATGTGCGCGTACGTTACGCGAGATCGTGCCATGCGAATGCGAGATTTCATCTGGAGGGAATAATCGCGAAGTTATCTTTCGCAACTCGCTGAAATTAGGACCGGCCGGTCGATAATTGCCTTTGTGGAAGCGATCCTTCGGATCTCCCAGACGTTATAGGACACGTCACAGGTAGATCCGCGTAAAATACACAAGTGGACTAATAACGATTTAATGCTGACTCTGTCTAATATGAATCTAACGGGAGGATAAAGTATACTAAGAGAAAAAATATCTGAAATAGTAAAAGATATTTATTCAATGGGGTTGCTAATAACTAATATTTACTTGTACCATATTTTCGCATATTGAGAAAGAATTTCTTTCATAAATAAGAAAATATATATTTTCCTAGAATCATCGTTGTTTTTCACAAAAGAAATTGTTTATTTAAACAAAAGAATTAAGATTTATAACAATATGTTATTAGTATCCCGAATAAATATTTTTTGCTTTTCAGATATTTTTTCATCTTAGTATATATGTGGATAATAATGTTTCACTCAGTATGGGACAATATTCTTCGCAAGGTTAGTTCGATTTTTCAGTAAATTGACAGACATGTATCTAGTAATTAACTAAAATTATAATTATCTTTTGCCCCAATTATATTTTTCGATTGTTCTAACACGTAAATTTGCAGTAACATGCACGCAAATTACGTTCAAGTTGTTATTACTAACATTGTAATAGAATTTAATTAAAAAAGAAATAGTTTCCTTGACCATAATTTATAGTACTTATTTCTCTATGTGATTACAGCTACAAGCATCAAACATTTTTTTTTCTGTAGGTAGTGTGTAAGTTCAAGAAGAGTTCACTTTGCAATACCGTTAAATGTTATTAACTTCCCGTTAGATTCACATTAGATATTAACGTCAGCTTGAGAACGCTATTGGTTTACGATTATGTTTTTTTTTTACTTTGGATCCTTCTCATCTATAATACGAACGTCACAACTCGCGTCTTTCAGCTCATTCAACAATTCAGATGTTTATTGTTCGCGCTCAAGAACCACGCGAGCATAATAGACTGATTAGACAAATCGTCCAACTGCTATTTTCCGCAAATGCGCACGAAGCCTAATGAGATTAATTAATGTTTAGCAAGTGTCATGAATATTTAACGAGTATGTCACGAAACCCGTACGCGCGCGTTATCGCGCAAACTTTTCATTTTCACGCGATTACCGTCTCCCGAGAGTGCCGATCGACTCGATCTGGAAACATAATAAAGACACAGCCGTCCTGTTATCGTTTCTCTTGCGCGACAGTCGAACGAAACCAGTCATGCTAAGAGCCTATCGACGATTTTATTCGTGATCGAAAAGGCGCAGAGATCGTCTTCCCAGCCGATGCTACATTTAATTAAAAACAATCTCGACGAACACGCACGTACCGCTTAATTATTCGCGGAGGATCGCAGCAAAGCTGCCGACGGCAACCGATCCGCGAGCTAATTTACCTCTTACCGTCGGCAACAGAGTAGAAAATTACGTATCCATATATGCCACCATGTAAATAACGATATAATCGCGTGTGCGGCTACGGCTATACCTTCTAACGCTATTCTTCCCGTCTACTTTTTCTCAACCGCGATGAAACATCGATTTAAAAAAAATCCAGACACATGGCGCACACACAAAGGACATTAC